TTTTGTTGTGAATGTGTCTACAAATTGCTTTGAAATGAAGATAAGATTTTTTTTCCCTGAAGCGAAGCTCCCGTGGAAACTTTCTGAAAAGAAAGAAAAGAAATAAAAGAAAACACAAAAAGCAAAGGAAAACACGCCGTTGTCTGTTATCTGAGTGCTGTTTTGTTTTCTCTATGAACTCAAACTTGGCCTACAATAAGTTTACGCGGATGGGAACTTTGTGACCAGAGTTCTTTTAATAAATAAAAATTAAACTAATTTTCCTGCTGACCTAAGGCCAAAGTGAAGTCGTAGTCTGACTAGAGGTGGGTTCCCCTTGGTTCGAGCATAGAGGTTCGAGAAAGCTTAATCCTCACCCTCAAAAACGCGAACTGTGTTTGAAGTAATCCACAATACTTCGTTTCTCACCGGTTTGCTGACGAGTTACTCGTGTTGTGGCACCATTAAAGCAGCAGAGGATTATGTGAAGTTCGACCTTTGCCCTTACGATTGGATCAAATTATGCAAATACAGTTGTGACAGAAAACAAGTTTATGTTTGCTAAACACCTTCAAATTCCTTGACAGTCATTCCCTATTACAGCGCCGGACCTATTCAACAGTTCAATTATTTATAACTGCTTTAGGAAGCTCAGTCATTTCCCGTCTGATTTCCGTCGTCCACTTCTTGGAGCAGTCCCTTTCTCGGGAGATTTTTTTTTTTGTGGTCGCCTTATGAATTGCAGTGTCGGAGCTGCCAGGACACGAGAAACAAAACGGACCAAAAAAAAAAGAAAAGAAGAAAGTTTGCAAGACAGTGGTCATTGGAAATGGCTTTCCCCTGAACGTACCTGTTTTTAATCAAGAAGCATTACAAATCTGCTAGAATTAGATAGTTTTTATTACTGCTAATACATGCCCCGACCTCACACGGATCCACTGAGCATCAACGATTGGTAAATTCCATAGTTTTATATCCATCAAGCCCTAACAAGAGGCGATGTTGCCTTTCTATAGACATTCAGCTGTTAAAAAAATCTCTTGCAAGATTATCTCTTTACAGCCATTAAGTACTTTTCTCTAGACTGCCCTAACGAGAGATCGTCCAGAAGGAGAAAACGATAGACAAACACAAGCAAAACTTGAATATTTAATCATAGTAGGGAATATGTCTAATAATTAATTTTTTAACTCCGTCACTGTATAATAATGTTCTCCGAATGTCCCGTGTCTTATTAAAGGAAATGATTCGTTCACATGTAGTCTTCAGGAAAAATGATTCAGATCTTTTCAAATGCATAATTCATTATGGACAAATATTCCTACATGATTTAGGATGTTTTTGTTTGTTTGTTTGTTTGTTTGTTTTTCATCCGTTTTAATCTAAATGCGTCAATTATATTTTGTTCATGGTTCTTTCCCTTACAAGCTTTTTCTTCTATCTTGCAGACTTTGCCCATACTTTCCAATGATGCATCGGCCTACGCGTTTGAAGATTACTGACGTCAATCCCCATCTAATTTGCATATTATGTGGCGGTTACCTGATTGATGCGACGACTATGATAGAATGCCTTCACTCCTGTAAGTAAAAACCACCCATGACTCTCTGTATCAATTTATCACTCTCCTATGTAGATACTTGCACATTGCAAAAGGAAAAAAACAATAAAAGTCGCACAGGATGAAAAGATTGAAATACGTGAACATTTTAGGATAGTATAACAAGACAGTAGCAGTATATGTTTGCGCTTGTTTAGCTATATTTTGGCGATTCCTGATTTTGCAACACTCCTGATCGTTCACTTTACACAAAGCACTTTTTCTCTCGAACTTATTTCGTCAGCATCCATTTCCTTACATTGCATTGACGATTGATACGATTGCATCACACAAATGGATTGCATGTAGTTGTATATAGTTTCTTTACATTACTGGGTAGCCATAAATGCCTTCAATGAAACTTTGATTTTAAATTTCTGATCTGCTAGTTTCCGGTGCACAAAACAGTTATGAACATTAGGCCTATTGTCCAGTCATTGTTAAACGTACTGTAACCAATGATGGCGAACGAAATCAAATTGACTATCCAATTCTTTGTATACATGTGTACGTGTTCCAATGTTGATCACGTTGGTGATCTGGTACTTAGTATAAAAACGGCCTCAGTTAATATGGCCGTCATTTTGTTCTAAAGTTTATTTGCCCGACTGTTTCACTTCGTAAAATGAAACAGGTTGAGATAACATTAAAAGATCAGGTTCCCTGCAGTGTTTTGAACTTCCATATGAACATTTCAGATCATGCAAGTTGTTGAGCAGTTCACAGAAGTATATTTTTAATATCTTTTTCAATGTTTCTTTTAAATCTAAGCAAACTGAACCGCATAAACAAATCCATCCCTTCCACGTAGTGCCAGTCATATCCAAATCGATGCTCATCATCCCGGAAACAGTCGCTTCCACACTGCCTAACCCCACTGATGCCCTGTTCTATAGTTTCTGCTCTGTTCGGCGAATGTATACCGTAATTCCCGTTGTATACAGAAACGAGACAGGAAGTATGGTGATTCCCGCATTTAATGGCATTTTTGTCCGTTTCTCGCGGCTATAGCACGGCGCCTCTTCATGTTTGGCATTTGTTCAATAACCGTGCCGGTGTTTTGCCCTATGAGGAGTAGACAGATAAAGTAACAGTTAACGTTAAGACCCTTTTTCGACTGTCTACAGTGTACCTGGTGTAAGGGTGTCCGTTGGGCTTGTCTACAAATGCACTTGTTTAGAAATGGAGCTGGTTCGAATCCCATGTTGAAAATTTTCCTGTGTGGACTCCAACAGAAGAAGTGCTTTTTCATACGTTTTCTTTTGTTAGAAGTGCCCTGTATGTAATGCATCGTGTATCAACACAATACCTCGACCTTAATTACCACATCTACGTGTGGATTGGATTATGGCTACAAACCACAGCCATGGTGGTTCCAGGGGGGGGCAACAGGGCCACCACCACCACAACCCCCCCAAAAAAAATTTAGCCATTTTTTGTTTACCTAATGAGAGTAAAGAGATTTTTTAATCTATATCATTTCCCTTTCTTTCGTAAAGCGTGAAAAAGCCCCCAAATCTAGCCCCACCCCACAACAGGCCATAAGAATTTACCTGAAAAAAAGACGGTTCTGGACCCAGCTTTTAGTACACCTATCAATCGATGTTCAGGCACGTTTCAAGCTTTGCAGCTGAAATGAAAGAATTTACTTCGTGACGTGAAATACAGTCCAGGAAAGAAAATCGGGCATTGTCACTTTAATCGACATGTGGTGTAAAGTTACTAACAACTTGTGGCTGATTCGGGCAAATAGTACATGTAAACGATCCTGCATAGAAAGCATTCAGCATTTTAACCCTCATTTCGAAAGAAACCAAACAAGAAGAAGGTACATTGTATAACTGTTTGCAAACTGTCATGAATTCCTTCCACCTGGAAGAGAAAAAAATCAAATGTCAAAGCAAACCCAACTGAATAGATTTACTCCTCTGTTTTGAGACAGAGGCCTGTGGTCTCGCTTTCAGAAAATTAAAGACCACACGTTCTCTTCACCGACGGAGGCGACTGGATTCTCTAATGGGCAAAGCTTATGAGCAGAGGTTTTGTTTTATAGCTAACCGTCTGTCTTCAGTGGGATTTATCGCTTATATCAGTGGGACGTCAAAGCAAAGTGAGAGTGAAAATACTACATATAGAACTTCATTTTGTATGTTGAATTCTGAGAATGACCACAAGACAATTTAATATGATTTCTCCGTCACATATTCTCTGTGGTGCTCGATAAAATATACAGTATACAAAATTATACAATATATAATACAATATCTTTTCCCACGTTGATAATCCAGTTACGGTATTGTGTAATTTCATCTCATATGACCAGTAGTCGTTACTGGAAAATGAAATAGAGGCTGTGACTTTCGTAAGTGTTCCACTCTCCTGCTAATTGTGGAAATTAACGATTTCGAGGAAGGCTTTAGAAAAAAAACCTGATCCGAAGAAAAAACGCATGATGTGGGCTAATGATTGCTGGATAGACGTTCATATACGTGTAAACATTCCTGGGAAGTAATTTCATTTATTCTATTCGGATGGTGGAAACTGCGAAACAGATACTTTACCTGTATTTTATAAAATTGCATGATTATATATATTTGATGTGGGTGGTTTTTATCCGGGGGAGGTTGTTTTTCAAACAAAACACGTCTACGAGGCTTTTTGGGGGGGAGGGGGGAGGTGGAATCATACATTCAAGACTGTACTATTAACTCTCGCGCAGTCCAAGTCGATTTTTTTGAAAACCAAAAAAAAAAAAAAAAATACAAATGATGCGATATCTTCGCAATGTTACCCTGTGTATGGTATCAGTTATTACTTGTTTTTCTTGTATACTCTTATTATATTTATTTAGTTTTCATCATCATTGTTAAAGAAACCGCCATGTAAAAAAGCGCCATAAAATCCACCGCCTTTAGACATGGAACCAATTGCTAAAGATCTTTACTCAGAAAAGTGCAAATTCTAACGGTTTACACGAGCCAGACGAAATTGTAAGTTATTCCAGATTTAGAAAACTGAGGAGTTTTTTTTTTCCACTAACCCTTCGAAGAACCACGTCTGTCCAAGGGCTCAAACTCAATTTCCGTCTCAGACAATCTTGGCTCCCCGTCAGCCAACAAACAGCTTTCCTGATCTTCGCAACAGTCGCCCCTTGCACCTCTACATTGAAAGTTCTGAAGCTCGCTCGAGCAGCTTATATTCTGGCGTCATTTAGTCCTTGCGGTCTGAGCAAAACGAGACACCTGTAGGGGTGTGTTGAAAATAAATCTCCGGTCTTAACGTAGTCTTGAGTTGAGTCAAGATAAACCTTCAAAGAGTATTGGTTTAATCTTTGTAATTTTCAGTGGGAAATTGCATGTGTAATTCCAAATTGCCAAGTATTGAATTCATTATGTTATGAAACTTGTGTGGGTGTTGCGGAGTTAATCTCGTCAGCCACAAATTCGCAGAACTCATGATCAATCTGATTTCCTCTCAGGAAAAATGGGCTCCTAGTTTAAAGTGGTAATGATTTTCCCCGACTCCGCAAAACCAATTCTTATGAGCAGAAAAACCTTACGCTGTCAAATCCAGCATATTTATGAGGCCGACGTCTTTCGTTTTTAAAAAATGAATTCAAGGCTTTCTGGACGCGGCGTCTCATTTTCATATCAGCCTTCATTTTGTAAGGGAGCGACACACTGCTGTTTGCCTGTGAAGTAAGAAATCCTTGTGGAATTCCACTGGCAACTTTCAATAGACCACCTTTTAAATGAGAATTTTCTATAATGATGCAAATTCTTCCAGCCTTTTCCCACTTTTATTTTAAAACCTTAAAACAAATTAGGGTCCTTGAAATCGGTTATTAAACCTTGTTATTCGCTTGTCCCCTACGAATTCTTTGACAACCCTGGCCTGCTTAGATATACACTGTCGTCTCTGCTCGTGTGGAGTAAATTTATTTGGGTTTGGTTAATAAGATGTTAAGGGCGCCCTTTGAATAAAATTCATACCTCTGAATGACTCCCGACTACACGTTCATATGACGGGCATACGGACGTGTTGTTTGTCGCTATGCGTTTAAGGTCAGACGATAAAAGAAAGTCTCACTACGTGGAGCACATAATCAGTGAAAGAAATGGATCTTTTCCTCTTATCACTCGATATATAGAGATCATCCTTAAATGGCTTAACTACCTCCCATGGCTATATCTTCTTGAAAGAAAAAAGACAGATTGTATGATTGTGATGCTCCCGCCCCCATCTGCATGCGCACATCTAAGTTTGATAAGAGGATTTATGAAGATCGAGGGAGGAGGCTTTTAAAGGCCTACAATCAAAGGAGAACCTGTAACTACCTGTAAGTACCTGGCAGATTATTGTTTTGCTTCGACTTTTTTGGTTTTTTTCTTTTTTCTGAGTGTGTGCTCTGACCTTTTTGTTCTTTTGTTCCACAGACTGTCGAGCATGCATTGTAGCTTATCTACGTCAGAGTCGACAGTGTCCGCGATGTGACACAATAGTGCACAAAACCAGGCCATTGCTGAATATAAGGTTCGTCCTTATATTAATATATTTTTAAGTATATAAAATGTGTTATGGTAAGTATACTTTAGTGCGCGCTTTAGCCTATAGCTAGCCTTTAACGCCTGCAGTGGAATTGTTTACTGGAGAAATCCATTCCAATTGCTGAGGGGAACTGCACTGTATTTCATAAACACTGTTATGTGGTTCTTTGGTTATGGTATTTTTTTCTCTTTTGCTCCTCTTTTGTCTTTTTGTGTTAGATCCGACAAGACACTACAGAACTTGGTGTACAAGCTGGTCCCAAATCTTTTCAAAGGTAAGGACCAAGAAATCGTCCCCTTTAGTCATTAAGCGTGAAACATTTTGGGCTTTTTCTTTGTTTGTGTAGGTGTTTTAACATCAGATAAATGTGTCAGCCAGCTCAGAAAATTAATGTATTACATACTTAAAGAAAGTATTCATTTTCAGTTACTCTGTGATTTACTCATTTTAGATGAAATGAAACGGAGAAGAGATTTTTACGCCAAGCACCCTCAAGCAAGTAAGTGCGAAACTGACACAACATATTTGTCGTCCGATCTTTCTGTGGGCGTCTGCTCCGTCAGTTTCCCTTATATTGTCCATTAGTACGTTTTATTTTGTCAATTTTGGATGCCTTGAGGAAACACCTGCCTTTTTCCTGTTGTGTTTTTCCCTAAAATTGTCCTGGAGATTCGCAGTACAATCCTTTGCAGTTGCCTTCTCCCGGCGGGCCTTTTGCTGCTGTCTAAATTAAAGATAATGAAGTCTGCCTCTGCCTAGAAATCCTGGATTGTATCGGAAGAATAATATGGTCTGCTTACGACAAGGTGTATTGAGGGGTGGGAGATCTTTTGACTAGTTTTGAATCCCATTTTGCCGAAAATTGTGTCGATGGGCTTCAAATAGATGACATTGTTTGTCATAATGGGTTGTTTCCTTACAGAGACGTTTCTCTTGCTGAATAGCCTAAAGATCATCTATATCTCTTCAAAAATGGTTATTCCTTGCTTAAATTGAGTTCATCTTTTGGACGTATTTCTGGCAACCCCCCCCCTTTCCCTCAGGTACCAGCATGCAGTCGCCGAACGCAAGAGAGGAACGAGGGGAGGTGTGCGAGGATTCTCTGGTTATCTATACCGAGGATGAGTATATCAGTCTATCCCTGGACTACTACTTTGCGCAGCCAAAGAAGGATGAGGGCCAGAAGATAAGGGATGAAGGAGACACCAACGCCAACGGCAAACGTTCCAACGGAGATGCAAACGGGCTGGGTGGAGACGTGAGTGTAATACAGCAGGCATTGCCTAATTGCAATCATCTGTGTAGGGCAGAGATGACTGTCCACAACCAACCATCCAACACCAACCACACCTTCAGTGATAGTGACCCCTGTTTTAGCTTGAGCAGTGGTTTGAATATTTGGTCTTTAATTCTGGTACTTCAGTGTTGTCGGTTGTACTGATTTAACTTGTACAACAATGTAATAACAATTGCCCACTAACTATTCCCAATTTCAGGTGGTGGAGAAGAGATACCTACGTTGTCCCGCTGCCGTTTGCGTCTCTCACATCAAGAAATTCATCAGGAATAAATTTGGACTCTCTCCAGCTCACAGGGTACCCCAAAAAAACATTAATGAATAAAAACAAATCAGGGAAACGAATCAGGAAGGCAAGGTGCATAGCGTGAAGTATATCGTACTAAGACATGACGACAACGTAAAAATTCAGCCCAAATCAGTCGTGTGAGTCACAACTGATTTTTTTTTCAATTAAAGAAGTCGTCTTGTTTTCCATTTATGTCTAGAATTGCTCTGATTTGTCATTTCAGATCGAAGTAGTTCACCAGAATGGTGAAGATGAGCCTTTGCGTGATGACTACACCTTGATGGACATCGCCTACATCTACACTTGGAGACGGGTAAGGCTTCATAGAAACAAACATAGTTCAATAAAATAATCATTTATTGGTCTAGGAGCAGGTGAATATCTAAAGATTCTTAATGTTCTTAAGATAATCAAATGCTTATTTCTCACCCTTCTCTCTACAGAATGGACCTCTGCCTCTGTTGTTCAGAGTCTTTGAACCTTTCTCCAAACGACGAAAAGGAAGTCAGTCCAGTGTTTCATCCTCCGATTCTGTTCCATCCAGGAGCGCCAGTCAGAAGCCTTCATCCCCTGCAGCTCAACGCCAAGGGAACATGACCAAATCACCTAGCCCTCCCTCTCTTCAAACCAAGGAGGCACAATTTGAGAAGCCACAAGGTAAAGGAAAACCTCCTGGAGAATCCGTCAAAGGTCCAGCCAAGCCGACCAAAGCACCTTCATCAGAAACGCCCGGACAGTCCAGACAGACCCACTCACAGGACGGTAATGCCGGCCCTCAGAAAAAGTCACTGTCTGGTAAACCTGAGAAACCAAAAATGTCTTCCGCAATAAGCATCCCCACTCAGGGGTCTTCTACAAACACACAGAGTAAGACTATTGTCATTGTATCGTCAGCGAATCCTGTGTTGACGTCAGTAAAGACTCTAACCAACACCTCGTTGGTTGTACCCAAAACAGTGAACTACTTTCCACCTGCCACTGCCAACTCGTTAAAGACTGATTCGAGTTCTTTAAATCCTACTAAACCTTCACCAAAGCCCGTATCGTCACCAACAGAGCCTGGTAAGACGCCATCAACGGCCAACGTGACGTCACCTCAAGTTCCTGTTACGTCAGTTAAAGGTCAATCTCCCTCTTCTAAAGCAGAAGTGGCTTCACCAAAGTTGGACATGATTTCATCAAATTCAGTCATGGCCTTACCAAAGGGGGAAGGTGCATCGTCAGTTTCAAGTGTGGCGTCATCAAAGCCAGATTCATTACCCAAACTAACTATGGCGATGCCAAACACTGACCCGGCCACCACGAGGCCCGATATTGTGTCCAAGCCTGACAAGCCTGAAGAGACATCTCAAAAGCGCGACGCTCCACCAATCAGCTATACCCTGTCCAGTGCCACTTTGTCGCCCTCACCGTTGAAAGATTCCTCTGGCGAGAGTAAGACGTCAGCACCTGTAGAGAACGATAAACCAGGAGTTTTTCCAAATGCAGCATGCTCCTCGCCAGATGAAAGAACGGACAAACAACCCGCTACACCATTTGTGAAATGTGATGATGTCCCCACTAAACATGTTACGCACTGCATTAAAGTGGAACCAACGGTGACGGCAGCTGTAAAGGAGAAGTTAAATGTTGAGACCACGCCCACAGGGAACAATAGAACATCCGAGGACCAAATGAACGCGTCTGCTTCTGATGGCGTCGTCATTGACACGCCCGTTTTATTGCAAACGTAATCTTTGAGGATAATGTCTTATACAGTAAGCGTGGATTTATGATTTCTTTGGTTTTCTGTTACTCTTTATTTGTGTTTCAAAACTGTGAAATGTTTGCTTCTTATTTTCTTTAGAAAACTGCTTTTCATCGTTTTATCAAACATGTTTTCATACTGGTGATTATGATGAATGGCTCCAATCACACTTTTTTTCTGAAGGCTGTCAGAATAATGTACATAAATAACCTAAGCAGTTCTTTAGTTTGCAGTTCCTTTGCTGTGAGGAACAGTAAATTGTTCAAGTCACCAATTTAATTGAAGTTTGCTTGTTGTTTAAAATTTCCGAAGCAAATCTTAGATTCCCACTAGTAACTCTTCATTGGTTGGCCTCACTTCAGCAACCTGCAACTGACTTTATCCCTCCAGCACGTACATATACTTGTCAAATTTCAACTAAATCTCCACAGTTAGATAACAGAACCATAGTTCCGTTAGATGTTAAGAAAAAGTGTAAAAGAAAACAAGTGCAAAATATCCATTAAAGCACAAACTTTTTTATTAATTAGTGAAAAGGATACATGTATTAAAACCGACATCTGTAGGCGAAACTGTTCCACATAAATAAAATGGTTACTAGTTTAAATTTCCAAATTCATTGTACAATCTGCTCACAGTTATCATTGCTAGACGTTGTTATGGGGGGTCTTTGAAAGCGTTTCATGTAGAACGTAAATCCTAAATATATCTTGTTATCTATGCTCGCCTGACGTTAAACCATTAAACAAGTTTCTGCAACTTAAAGCTCTTTACGTGTACATTCTTCAAAACAAACTAATCACAGCCTTGCTAGTTTGATAATTTAAGTTAAGTAGTTTGATTCTCAGAGGGAACAATAACAATAACACGGTTTCTATGTAGCGCATCACACCAAGGTCTCGCTGCGCTTTACAAGAAACAACAATTAATATTAATATACGTTGGGTAAGGGCAAACCCGTTATATGTAATTAACAATTAAGAAAAATTAATGAAACAAGTAAGTTTTGAGAACTGCTTTAAAATCATTTTCGCTATTGATAATTCTGATATGGTGAGGAAGAGAGTTCCAAAGCGATAGTGATACATGCTTGAAGGAACGATGTCCATGAGTCTTAGTGCGAGTGATGCGTTGTGGCTGGTAAACTTGAATAAGTCCACGGAGGTATGCTGGTGCTGAGCCATGGATGCATTTGTGAGTGAGGAGTAGAATTTTGAAAGCAATTCGCTGACTGACTGGTAGCCAGTGAAGAGTGCGAAGAATAGCAGTGATATGTTGCTTAGATGATGAACGTGTAACAAGTCTGGCGGCGGAATTCTGAATGCGCTGAAGCTTCTTGGGAATGGATCGTGAAAGAGCATGAACTGCACATGAGAACTGGCAAAGGATCAGTATCTGGCAAGAGAGGAAAACATGCGACGAATGTGAAGCTTTATTCTCCCTCTCGTGGTTTTCCCGTGAGTGACCCCACCCCACCCCGATTCTCCAGTCAGATTTCATTCTGTCTCTCAAGTGCCTTTAGAAAAAAAAACGGTTGGTACTCATTGGCTATTGAAGTACATGTACTCCCACAGTACATTAGACGGCGCTCCAATGCATTGTGAAAGTGAACACGAACAACCACTATCGATTGTTGAGTTCATTCTAATAAAGAATAGTAAGCCACATGTACACTGCGCAGCTGCGTGTATTCCTTAGCTCAAACCGTGGTGTTTGCTGAACGAGTTACACGTCCTTGGTTGCGTGGTTGAAATATAACTAGTGGGTAAATACGGAATCCCTGTTTATCGGACGTCATGTGATTGAGACGTCATTGTTTGGAACTACTGTAAGATGATGGTGTATTGAAATTTAAAATGTATAGTAGATTTAAGTGTTTATTTTACTCTGTGAAGAAGTGGTCACTCGTATGAAATTGAATTTTTATATAATTAAACACGCATAATTATTATTAGTTTATGTGTAAGTTAATCTAATCAAATTCTCTTTTGGGAGAATTGATAAGAGAAAAAATGATATTTCAACACCCATCTTCTCTTCGTTATGTTTAATCTTTACAGACTGAGGCACCGTGGAAGAACCTTAAAAATTAATCGCTGAATTTTGCGGATCTTATGCACTACGAAAAATGTCCCCAAAGAAGCGGACCCCATAACCGATTAGGGCCTACGTTACAGACGAGTAAACGGGCCCACAACTTCATATGAAGCAAACTGTGAGACAGAGAACTCCCCCCCCCGCCTTTGTGTTGGTCATTGTTATTCTGGTATCTCAGGAATTTTTTCAGACATCTGGGTTGGGATGAGTTAAGTGACAACAGGCTGGAGTGTGTATAGAGATCGGACTTGTTGGGAGGGTACCCCTCTGTCCCATTTCGTGCCTGGTATACACAACTTAGCGCTGACAGTGTGCCGTTGCTCCAGAGGGGTTCCGTGGCTCAGAAACAAGTTTTTAGGATTACGGTAGTGGAAACGTAGATGTTGTCAACAGAAATGCAAGCTCGTATGAACGGTGTGAAATTTGGGGTGAAATTGGGTCCTAAAAAGTTTCTATGTTGCAGTGAAGCGGGGGCATCATTTCTCAAATAGCGATATGGATCAGAACTCCATTTACTTTGGAGGAAATTTCTCCAGCAAAATCATTAGATTCCTCATGAAATTGAACTCAAATAGATTGAAATATGTCTTGAAGACCTTGCACGGTTGTATAGTGTTTTTCTCTTTACTTTTTGGGGGTGGGGTGTAGGTATTTATCAGTGTCGTTTGTGCCAATTTATTTACTAGTCTTCACTCTCAGCCACACCGAAACACATCGACAACATACAACAAAAACGTTATGTTTGTAACTCATGAATATTTGATCGTCTGTTGCTACACGACCACTGTCCAATAGGTGCGAAAGACGAGCACACCCTATAAAACCCCGTGTTTGGAACAGCGACGTCATAATTCTTACTGAGTCTCAACGTAGCACAGAGACAAGTTGGAAAACATCTCCCCTTTTGAACACGAAATCACATCTTTTTCTTCGTCAAAATCAACTGAAACTACTCTGCAAACATGGTAAGTATATCGTATAAATTGTAGGCTCCTCGTTTGGTGTGTAAACGTCTTGGGAACAGGTGTTTTGTGCCATGCAGTTCGGACCATTTTCTTGGCTCGCTCATAGAGGGCCAATGCTTCACGATACACGTAGCCAAGCCATAACGTAGGCCTACAGGACATATTTTGCATTGTTACTTGCACATGTATAAGTGTACTTAAGGAATCTGGTACCCACTAATAGGTTACTGTCTTCCGTGTGCGTACTGGTTTTTTTTGGCTTTTAAGTTACTATGAAATCATGAGCTACATGGAACAACCAGCAGACTTTAGCCTTGCTTGGATTATTAGCTCTGAAAAAAATGTACATCTTCCCTTAATTCCCACCGACCAGAATTTGTAACCATGAAAGCTGTAATATTGGTGAAACATTCCTCGACAAATAGACTTTCAATGAGGAATTCTTGGGATTTTCTTACCATCTTGTAGAGGGCTGTGAGGAACAAACCGAATGGAGTTTGCGATGGTCAAAATTATCAACCCCATTTCAGAATTGTTTTTTAGAAACTGAAGAACAGTGAGAGCAGAATACTATTCTTTTCTGAACGCATTTAGGCTGTGGAGAAAGTTTGACAAAAACACTCCTGAGATTCCTGACAGATTCTTGAGAAATTCTATAGATGGTTTGGAACTTCCATCGTGCATAGTGAATTTGTAAAACAATAAATATTGAGAACTTGCCACGGTCCTTCCATTTTCCTCCCAGCGTGAATGTATCTCGGTCCACGTCGGCCAGGCCGGGGTCCAGATGGGTAATGCCTGCTGGGAGCTGTACTGCCTGGAGCACGGCATCCAACCTGATGGTCAGATGCCCAGTGACAAGACCATTGGAGGTGGTGACGACTCCTTCAACACCTTCTTCAGCGAGACCGGTGCTGGCAAGCATGTTCCCCGTGCTGTCTTTGTCGACCTGGAACCTACAGTAGTCGGTAAGCGAATACTTCCCCTGAAAAAGTTTGATTATTCATAGCCTTGATGCTGATAAATATTTTAAATTTCTTTGTTCACAGTTCTGTGACTTATACTTTTCTTTTGATTGCCATTTCAGATGAGGTCCGCACTGGTACCTACCGCCAGCTCTTTCATCCTGAGCAGCTGATCACAGGCAAGGAAGATGCCGCCAACAACTACGCCAGAGGTCATTACACTGTGGGCAAAGAGCTCATCGACTTGGTGCTGGACCGAATCCGCAAGTTAGCTGACCAGTGCACGGGTCTCCAGGGTTTTCTCATCTTCCACAGCTTTGGTGGAGGCACCGGCTCTGGCTTCACATCCCTGTTGATGGAGCGTCTCTCCGTGGACTACGGCAAGAAGTCCAAACTGGAATTCTCCATCTATCCAGCTCCTCAGATCTCCACAGCCGTCGTCGAGCCTTATAATTCCATTCTGACAACCCACACCACCCTGGAGCACTCTGACTGCGCGTTCATGGTAGACAACGAGGCCATCTACGACATCTGTCGTCGAAACCTCGACATCGAGCGCCCAACCTACACCAACCTCAACCGTCTGATTGGTCAGATTGTGTCCTCCATCACCGCCTCATTGCGCTTTGATGGTGCCCTCAATGTCGACTTGACTGAGTTCCAGACCAACTTAGTGCCTTACCCGCGTATCCACTTCCCCTTGGCCACCTACGCTCCTGTCATCTCTGCCGAGAAGGCCTACCATGAGCAGCTGACCGTTGCTGAGGTCACCAATGCCTGTTTCGAGCCGGCCAACCAGATGGTGAAGTGCGATCCTCGTCACGGCAAGTACATGGCCTGCTGTCTGCTCTACCGTGGTGATGTTGTCCCCAAGGATGTCAACGCTGCCATCGCCACCATCAAGACCAAG